AACAACAATAAAAAGAAGTATAAAAATACAATTGCAAAAAATATACATTGCACTCAAAAACTTTAACATATCAAAAGATAAAAAGAAGTTAAAACTAATAAAAAGCAAAGAATTTCTAATTTTCATTTAAAAAGTATATTGTATATAAGTTTAAACTTAAAACAATTGAAGGAAACGTTAAGATCAAGAAAAGATAATGAATTAAGAAAGGGGGTGCCTTTGCAATAAGAACTATTTTTAAAATATTGAAGCTGTGGACGAGGAACAAAAAACATACCATTTTTGAATCCCTAGTCTGGATGACTACTTATGACTTAAAGTAAACAAACATCTAGATTTATAATTATAAATGTGTCGTTCTTTTCCTAATCAACCTGAGTCAGAGTGACAAGTTTTTTTATTTATTAGTCTCCAACAGGGATGTAAATCATCTAATTTGTAAATAAATACAGCAAGTTAAACCAGGGAGTTGTTTTCCTAGTTAAACAAAGGTAATCCTCGGATAGAAACCGCAGACAATGTTCAGACATCTCAACTTGTTGAAATGCTTTAGTAACTATGCCTCAAAATTTCAGTAGTAAATAGAAAATTTCTGTAGCACCTAATGATTAGGCCCTATAAAAAATATTAGTTTATCACCCTATCTGGGCAGGAAAAGTGATGAGGGAGGGAGGTTTTTTTTTTTTTTTATATTTTATTTTGCTAAAGCCAAATATCACCTTTGGATTGTTTGGTGGTGCATTGATATTCAAAGTAAAACATGCTTTAGATAATGCAAATAATATCTACTATTTAATAAAATAAATTTAAAAAATTAATTTAAAAAATTAAACATTTTTTTTTTTTTCAAAAATAAATTTTTTTCAAAATTTTTTTTTCCCCAGTACCATAAAAGACATGCACGTGAGGGTGATAAACTAATAATTTTTTTTTATTGGGCCTTAGTCTGGGAGTGCAAAATATGGGTTGCTCAAAATGCAGCTTAACAACAGCTGTGGAAATTAAAGCAAACTGGACAGGATGTAGATATATGGGTCATTTTGTCCTTGGGTTTCATGATGTAATTAATCTGGGGAAAAAATCTTTCTCTCCTTCTCATCTGTCTGAGGAAGGTTTAACCTCACCATTTATCCAAGACATATGTAGACATCCTACAACATAGCATGATTGGATAAAACAAGTAAACAGTACTACTACTGAAAAATAATAGTGAAAAATAAACATTAAATTAATGTGTAAATAGTAAGTTAATTACTATATTAGCAAAGCATTAGAGTAATACCGCCGTTTATTGAAAAACATAATTTTTTTTTACCAGGTTTGTGAAAGTTGTCATTGCAGAAATAATGTAATATGTTTAATTTTATCTTTTTTTCAGCATTTATATATTTTATATTAATAGAATAAATGCATGACTTTGCAAATTTGATATCATTCACATAATCGTTACAGTTGTGTTACTTATCAGCATTTATTCTCGCATTTCATTGGGTGCTAGAATGTACTTTTAGAGCATGAGTTAATCAGTGGACAGGTTGCCAGGAAGCTAACCAGTATTGTCCCCAATTATTCTGACAAGTTTGTTACCTCATGTTTATTGTGGTCATCATGTGTGAGTCATTTGAAACCTCAATTGTTGTATTCTGGCAAAGCATGTTGATTGCTCAACTGAGGCCATGACTGGTGTAATGATTTCTTTACATACTTATGTACATCATTCCTCCATTATTTTTTTTTTTAATTTTAATTGATTATTTTTGTTAATGTTAATATAAGACTATAATTTATTATTATTTTCATCAAAACAAATACATGAAAGTTGGGTGGTACCAGAGTTGTTCAGCAGTGGGTAGGCTAGTCTAGCTGTTAAAGAACTCCGAAATTAATAGAACTTGTTAGTCATAGAAATATTTTTTCCCTGACAATTTGACGGTGTGTGATTGTCATTTCTGGGCATCTAGACATTCCAATTAATATGCTATGGCTGAGGGAAGCTTGGACACACTGTCACAGTGTCTTTTACCTTGGAACCCTCTTTGAAGCAGTGGTGTCTAGGAGTCTTGAAAGGGGTGCGCAGCTGATGTTGGAGCAGGGCTCTATGATTGGGGAAAATGGTAGCTAGCTCTCAAAATATAAGATGATTTGAGGTGATTATAACAACTTGACTTTGGGGTGGAGGGTGACTAGGGGAAGAGTATGAGAAGTATTATTGGCCAACTCCCCCCCCCCCCTCCAAGATACACCACAGCTTTGAAGAATCCTACACTGACTTTCACTAGAATTGTGGCACTCTAGTTCAAAATTACTAGTGTACTGTAGCATTAACGGTATACTATGGCATATAGCAAGTGCTGCCAAAATTTAGTGCTAAATGTATTAACAGTAAACTACCAGTATGTTTAATAATACTACTAGAATACAGTAGTACCACCAATGTAGCAGTATCAATGACAATTACTCATCTTTCTGGGTTTTTTTTTTATTTTTAGGAAGACATTTATTGTCTTGCATCACCTGGCAAATTATTGGTGAGAAGGCACCAACAAAAGTATGGTGAGGAAGGCAGGGCCACCAAATATTAAGGTAAACACAGTAAGCATTGTGCATACAAACATGGTATATTTATTTATTTTGATTATTTGTTTTTTCTTTTATTTTTTATTTATTTTATTATTATTTATTTATTTATTTTGTTTATTTTATTTATTGATTTATTTATTAACATCTTTAACCAGGATGACACATTCATTTTCAGAAATGTCTTTCACTGGGAAAATTTATTACAAACTTGGCACTATAAATATAGAATATGTATTTACCAGGGGCATGAAAAAGGATTGCATAGGGCTAAATCCCAACACATCACATGGTCATCTCTAAACCTCTGACCACATTAAAGTCATCTAGGATTGTAACAATGTAATATGTTTGATTACAACTATATCTGTAGAGCCCATTTGAATCGTCTGCCCAAATTTTTGTGGTAACAAGATGATCCAAAAAATTAAGGGCATGTGAAAAAATCATGGAGCTAGTAATATAATATGAATTTTGTAATAAAATGTCGGACTTCCTAATCTAGCAAAATTCAAGAAAGTTTGACATTTTTAAAGTTCCGCTTTCGCGCTTGTATTTTGAAAAGAATCAGTTAGTTTCCTAAAGTTTATTGCCATATCCATTGGATCCTGAATAGATTTACCAGGTCATTTTGGAACATTATCTAATTATAAAGTCTAGGCCTACAATTAAATTCAATTTAATTCAGTTTATTTGAAAATCACCTCAAACAAATAGTTATAATAAATATAATAAAATAGCAACAACAAAAATTGTATATAATATAAAAGTTAAAGAGTCCCTGCTCTTTGTACCCTCTAATAAATTCAATAAAACTGATAGGAACATTAATGGCGCAGGGTGGGGGAGGGTGGATTTTGGACAGAGTTTGATGGCCGATGTGTCATTGCTATCAAATGCAGTACAGGTAGCATGTGAAGTAATTTGTAACATGGGTAGTTGATGCTGGCTTTACATAATCATTCAATCAATTATCAATCTTCATTTGCGTTTTTGAAAAAAGTATCTTACAAAAACTAAATACACTGTACACCGAGAAGGCCAGTCTAACTATTACATGATTAAACAAAATGTAAACTTTGTTGTTAATGAAACAAACAAATCATCAATCAATCAATCTTTTTTTATAGAAATGTTATATTGTTTATTATGTATTATATGATTGTAGCGTAGTTATTTTATAATTTACTGTATGTTAATGATAATTATCTGTAAATAATGTCTGTATATTTTAATCATTGAGGGTTTTTTTACCTAGATGTATTAACAATTCAGTCTTTATGTATGTATATTTATATTTATGCATATTTATTATTTATTTATTTTGTTATGTAAAAGATACGAAATATTATCAATAAGCCAGCCAATCAATTACTCAATTAATCAACCAATTATCGGCAATCAACTTTATTGCTTAAAAATCACAAAATAAACTCTTACTGTACATTGGAAAGGCCAATCTAACAAAAGAAATTAAACAAAAAAACTGATTATTGTGGTGAATTAAAACAGACAAATTCTGTGATCCAATATTATACAACAGGCAAATCAAGGTCTTTAAAACATTGGAATAATGCTGGAAAATTTTACAGTTAAATGTAAACAAATGAGAAATAAAAATCAGAAATCAATTGGGGAATCTGTAAGACTTTTGGTTGTTGTGGAGTTAAAAACACATCTACTGTATGGGAAGCTTCACAACTTCTGGGAGACTAGACCGACAATTGATTGACTATTGTTTGGTTGATTGAATGACTGGTTGGCTGGTTGGTTGGTTGATTGGTTGGTTGTTTCTGACAAGGTGTCCATTTTAACATTTTGGTTTTGGAATTTAAAATGAGTAAATGATTATGGATGGCAATAGTGATGGTTATTGTATCACACATTGCTGTTATGCTGTCAGATGTTCACACCAAATGTAGATTTGTATAATAAAGTGATATAAAGATAATTAGCAAGATGTAATACTAATGGCTTGACTAAGCCGAACAGACCAAAAGAAGAAATATGATCCATCACCTTCGTACTGTTTATCAAGAGCATTTGGGAGACGAGCTTGATTTTTCCTTTTTTTTTTTGCATCCATTCTCGTCTTGAGTCAGTCCATTTTAGACCTGTAATCATTCGTCAGCACTTTTGCTTACTCTTTGCTTCTGCATTGTCATGGCTTTTACCATTATTGATTGAGGGGGATTCTTCTAGATTATTTATTAAAACATTGATTTTAATGTATTTTTTTGTCCTTTTAGTCAATGGTACTTAACGTAATTATTAGTTACTTATTTTTTTTGTGAATTATTAAATCTATAGTTTACATTTTAGAACAAAACAAGTTAATTTATTCCAAACATTTTGCTGATTACTTCCTGGTAGGAAAATGGAATTCACCAGACAAGTGTTTTATTGTCTCCTTGAAACCTTACCATAGACAAATGATAGAATATTTTTGCTTTCATAAACACCTCTAATATTGGCATATGTGCCTCATTTTAGTTGTCGTGAATGCGTTAGTCTCATAAATGCTGATATCATTATCCGGATTCGTGTCAAATGTTGTTACGGGGTATTGCACATCAGACGTGTGCTTAGCGTTCTTGAGCGAGAAGTTGTTTTTCGACTGATCACTACGATGATATTTTGTACCAGTTCGCAACAGAAATTGTATAGCGATTGATTTTTGCAAGTCTTTGCCGACTCATCTTGCCTGTGGTACCTTAATTGTTAAGCTGTTGTAAACAACAAATTATTTGCATGTATACTGAACCGATTATGCCGTCTTTTTCCTTACTGTCACCGTCAGGGCAGGTAACTTAAGTTTCCTACGTTGAAGAGTGTTGTTCTTCTTTTCCTTTATGAGGGCTAACTTCATAATGGAAGGCTTAAGCTCAAGTAGCTTGGTTTGCGAGTTGCTGTGGTGGTTTTTTTTTTTGTTCAAATCTGGTTTAATAAAGATTAAATTATTGAATTGCGTGATTCTGGGATCAATTTGACTTCAAATCAAAACATCTCAACAATCCAGTGTTTAGTTTGTGTAAATGTGTGTGTGTTTGTTTTCTGAAAGGGATTGTCACCACTTACTGCACAGTGATATATTCGCTAATTGTCAATCCTTGCCGCATGTACAGTATGTGTGTGTGCACCTAAATAGATAATATTGGAACTGTATTATACATCTCTATTGGCAGGGAAAGTATTTACTCATTATATGTTATATGAAGGACATTTAAATATTTTAAAAAAAATTTCAGTTAACAACACAGTGTATTCAGTGGTAGACTTGTATCTTCTCTTAAGAATAGCTCTACAAATGTATTGAATACTCAGTCTTGTTTAATTACTGCAACTTTTTTTTAATTGTCTATGAATTATTAATGATTTGTGAGACATTGTATTTAATACTTATAGATAGTTTTTGTCTGCCTGTACTATTTGTAATGTTTTTATTGTTTAATTAAAATAAAAATAACCCCAACAGAAATATAAATCTTGAGTTAAACTAATAGGAATATTTTATATTATTGGATTTCAGATAAAACAAGAACCAGTGGAAGACCAGCCGGTTATTTCAGATAATGAACTTGTTAGTCTCTCAGTTCGTGAACTAAACCGTCGATTACGCGGCCTGCCACGTGATCAAGTTCTAAATTTGAAACAAAGGCGGAGAACTCTTAAAAACAGAGGATATGCTGCTAATTGTCGTGAAAAAAGAGTTTCCCAGAAAGATGTTCTTGAATCGGAGCAGAAGAAACTACAAGATGAGGTAACAAAGCTGGCACAGGAAAATAGCAAACAAAAAGTGGAACTAAATTCACTGAAATCAAAATATGATGCATTACTAAACTTTGCGCGTTCAACAAGCTCAGAAAGGGTCAAGTTTGTCGCCAGTCAGCCGAAATTAATCGTGGAATCTGGTGAGAGTTCACGTATGTCACCAACAGTCACGCCAGATCAACACGTTATGGTGAACAGTTCCTTGGAATATGCAAAAAAGTAAATACAGAATAAAGAATGAGTAAGGAAAAATAACGTTCGTTATTTGTCATCTTTACACTCATTTTAATAAAATATTTCTGCATAATTATTTTTCAATTACAAGTTTAGATGTAGAGGGTTTCATAGATATGTTTGAATAACAAGGTGTTCTGTACATATATACAGTATATATACTGTCTCTTATAC